ATTATTAGTATTACACCCCAACCAACCCAATTTGGTAGACACAAAATTTGTTAAAGGAAAAACTCGGTTGAAACATAAGGGTAGCACGCTTATTTACATCGACTTTAACATTACAGACCTGCATTTGTTTTATGCGTTCACTTGATTCCGCGAATGTGAAATAGACATGTTTATAATCAACCAATTGTGAATTTCACCGTCAAGAATTAAAATAAAACCCAATGTTTTATATAATAAGCGGAAGTCGAAGCAATAAAACCGACGGTCGTTTTGTTTACAGTTTCTGTGTTTGGCTCTCACGTATGCTGTTACGCCTGTCATCTTAAATTAACAATGTTTATACATACACGATTTTCAGTTGCCTCTGATACGTAGGTATACGTGAGTAAATTGTTTCGTTATTTTATTGATTATTACAAATTTGAGAATATAATAATTTTATTCTTAGTATTACACTACATCTATCCCAACTGATATACGTGTCCTTGCAAAAATGTTGATGACGTCATCGCAATTTTTTTTTAAATTCCCACTACAAAAATGTAATGAGAAAAAAAACACAATAGGCATGCAGTCGTCAAGTTTCCGACAGCGAGGGAAGTACTGTCTAAACTCTTTAGACCAATTTTTTCAATTTTTTATTTTTCTCGATTTATAGCGATTTCGATTTTTCGATTTATAGATTTTTTATAATATTATTTTTTTTTACATTTGGCCCGTTTCAGTTTCTCAGTTTTCGATTTTTCGATTTCGGCATTTCTCGATCTTTTGATTTCCGCGTTTTTCGATTTTTCAATTTTTTGATCTCTCGATTTCTTTTCATACTTTGGGGATTTTTCAGTTTTTCGATTTTTCAATTTTCCTTTCATTAATCAATCTTTCGATAATTCAGTTTTATTGTTTTCAATATTTCGATTTTTCAATTTTTCCAGTTTAAATTTTAGATTTTTCGATTACTCAAGTTTTCAATTTTTCAACTACATAATTTTTTAATTTTTGAAATTTTTAAATTTCAGACTTTTCAGTTTTTTGACGTTTGACGTTTCTTTTTCTCAATCTTTTGATTTTTTGACTTCTCAATTTTAAATTTATGGACTTTTAATTTTTTTATTTTTCAATTTTTTGGTATGTCGTTTTTGGATTTTTCACTTTATCGATTTTTGTTAATTTTTAACTTTTTGAATTTTTTATTTTGCCCCATTTCGATTTCACAATTATTCGACTTTTCAACTTTTTGATTTTTCAATTTTCTGATTTTTCAATTTTCTGATTTTTCAATTTTTCATTTTTCTCGATTTATAGAGATTTCGATTTTTCGATTTTTCGATTTATCGATTTTTTATAATATTAATTTTTTTTCACATTTGGCCCGTTTCGATTTTTCATTTTTCGATTTTTCAATTTCGGCATTTCCCGATCTTTTGATTTCCGGGTTTTTCGATTTTTCAATTTTTTGATCTCTCGATTTCTTTTCTTACTTTTGCGATTTTTCAGTTTTTCGATTTTTCAGTTTTTCTTCCATTAATCAATTTTTCGATAATTCAGTTTTATTATTTTCAAAATTTCGGTTTTTCAGTTTTTCCAGTTTGAATTTTAGATTTCTCGATTACTCAAGTTTTCAATTTATCAACTATATAAATTTTTAATTTTTGTAATTTTTAAATTTTAGGCTTTTCAGTTTTTTGACGTTTCTGTTTCTCAATCTTTTGGTTTTTGGACTTCTCAGTTTTAAATTTATGGATTTTTCAATTTTTTCGTTTCTTGTTCTTAGATTTTTCACTTTATCAATTTTTGTTAATTTTTAACTTTTCGAATTTTTGATTTTGCCCTATTTCAATTTGACAATTATTCGACTTTTCAACTTTTTGACATTTTTCCGATTTCTCTGTTTTTCGAATTTTCAGTTCTTTGATATTTGTGTTTTTAATTCTTCGAATTTTTTTATTTTAGATTTTTCGGTTTTTTAGCGTTACGATTTCTGAATCTTTCGATGTTCTGACCTCTTATTTTAAATTTTTCAATTGTTCTGTTTTCCGGGTTTTCAAGTATTTTATTTTTCGATTTTTCTATGTTTAAATTCTAGGTTTTTGAATTTTCAAGTTTTTGAATTTTTTGTTTCGATTTCATGATTTTCAAATTCTTGACGCTTCAATTTTTAGATATTTTAATATTTTAACTTTTCTAAATTTTAGATTCTTCGATTTTTTAGTTCTTCGATAATTCTATTTTTTAACATTTCGAATTTTTCATTTTGAGATTTTTCAGTGTTATGACGTTTCGATTTTTCGACTTCTCAGTTTTCAACTTTTTGATTTTTCAATTTTTCGTTTTTTCAATTTTTCATCTTTCTCGATTTATAGAGATTTCAATTTTTCGATTTTTCGATTTATCGATTTTTTATAATATTAATTTTTTTTTACATCTGGCCCGTTTCGATTTCTCATTTTTCGATTTTTCGATTTCGGCATTTCTCGATCTCTCAATTTCCGGATTTATCGATTTTTCAATTTTTTGATCTCTTGATTTCTTTTTTTGGTTTTGGGATTTTTCAGTTTTTCGATTTTTCAATTTTCTTTCCATTAAACAAGTTTTCGATATTTCAGTTTTATTATTTTCAATATTTCTCGGTTTTTCGATTTTTTAGTTCTTCGGTATTTGTGTTTTTAATTCTTCGAATTTTTTAATTATAGACTTTTCAGTCTTTTGACCTGTCGATTTCTAGATCTTTCGATTTTTTGACATCTTAGTTTAAATTTTTCGATTGTTCTGTTTTCCGGGTTTTCAACTGTTTAATTTTTCGATTTTTCTATATTTAAATTTTTGGTTTTTGAATTTTCAATTTTTCGAATTTTTTGTTTCGATTTAATGATCTTCAAATTTTTGACGCTTCAATTTTTAAATATTTCAATATTTTAACTTTTCAAAATTTTAGATTCTTCGATTTTTTAGTTCATCGATATTCCTATTTTTGGGTTTTCGAATTTTTAATTTTGAGATTTTTCAGTGTTTTGACATTTCGATTTTTCGACTTCTCAGTTTTCAACTTTTCGATTATTCAATTTTTCCCGTTTAAATTTTAGATTTTTCGATTACTCAAGTGTTTTTTAATTTTTGTAATTTTTAAATTTCAGACTTTTCAGTTTTTTGACGTTTCTTTTTCTCGATCTATTGATTTTTTTGTTTCTCAATTTTAGATTTATGGATTTCTAATTTTCTGATTTTTCAATTTTTTGGTATCTCGTTTTTGGATTTTTCACTTTATCAATTTTTGTTAATTTTTAACTTTTCGAATTTTTGATTTTGCCCCATTTCGATTTCACAATTAATCGACTTTTCAACTGTTTGACATTTTCCGATTTCTCAGTTTTTCGATTTTTCAGTTCTTGGATATTTGTGTTTTTAATTCTTCGAATTTTTGGATTTTAGATTTTTCAGTTTTTTGACGTTTTGATTTCGGGATCTTTCGATTTTTTGACCTCTTATTTTAAATTTTTCGATTGTTCTGTTTTCCGGGTTTTCAACTGTTTAATTTTTCGATTTTTCTATATTTAAAATTTAGGTTTCTGAATGTTTCAATTTTTCGAATTTTTTGTTTCGATTTCATGATTGTCAAATTTTTGACGCTTCAATTTTTAGATATTTCAATATTTTAACTTTTCTAAATTATAGATTCTTCGATTTTTTTAGTTCTTCGATATTCCTATTTTTTGGTTTTTCGAGTTTTTAATTTTGAGATTTTTCAGTGTTTTGACGTTTCGATTTTTCGACTTCTCAATTTTCAACTTTTCGTTTTTTCAATTTTTCCAGTTTAAATTTTAGATTTTTCGATTACTCAAGTTTTCAATTTATCAACTACATCACTTTTTAATTATTGTAATTTTTAAATTTTAGACTTTTCAGTTTGTTGACGTTTCTGTTCCTCGATCTTTTGATTTTTCGACTTCTCAATTTTAAATTTATGGATTTTTAATTTTTTTATTTTTCAATTTTTTGGTATCTTGTTCTTGGATTTTTCACTTTATCAGTTTTTGTTAATTTTTAACTTTTCGAATTTTTTATTTTGCCCCATTTCGATTTCACAATTATTCGAATTTTCAACTTTTTGACATTTTCCAGTTTCTCGGTTTTTCGATTTTTCAGTTCTTTGATATTTGTGTTTTTAATTCTTCGAATTTTTTTATTTTAGATTTTTCAGTTTTTTGACGTTTCGATTTCTGGATCTTTCGATTTTTTGACATCTTATTTTAAATTTTTCGATTGTTCTGTTTTCCGGGTTTTCAACTGTTTAATTTTTCGATTTTTCTATATTTAAATTTTAGGTTTTTGAATGTTCAAATTTTTCAAATTTTTTGTTTCGATTTGCCAAAATCACACTTATCTTAGCTAGAGGTACAAGTAATTAGAGCACAATTTCTTGTACCCCTGTACCTAATTTCAGTCGATTTGTACAATACAAATATGGAATTTCCATCCAAAATTGTTAGAAAAATTCTCCGCTTACCTCAAATTTACGGTGTTCGCAAAAATAACCTGCACGTAGTCTCGCTTTACCGGTCCTCGATAACCGTTGCAGCCGCTCAATCTTTATTTTCCTCCACACCCCTCCAGTGAAACTTGCGCCCACCCTCCACCTCCCGCAACAAAGCTAGTCTGGTCCAACATTCCCCTTTGTTCGCCGAAACCATTACGGTTCGAGTTCCAGCATGTCGAAAAGTTTGCAGAAATAATAACAGCAGGGCGAACTTTGAATAATTCGCAGCAACAATTGCCGGAATTTTTCTTTTCCGTCGGCACTCCACTTTGTTAATTCTGCAACTCGATACAGCCGCGCTGTTATTAAATTAGCTGGAAGTATTGCTTTCGTATCCGTTCTTTCCGAAATGGAAACGCAAATATTGAAACTGAATATTATTGGGAATCCCGATTGTGGAAGCTTTCCGACCAAATGCAATTTCCTTTGAAGCGGAGTTGAACGATCCATGGATGTTATTCTGTTGCAGAGTCCGGAGGGGTGCCGTGCATCGTCCACAATAGGACCTACGAACACGGGGAGACGTTCACGCTGGATTGCCGCACTCAGTGCGCTTGTCAGGTAGGTCCTATAATTCCCGTTTTAATATTTAATTCGGGGGGGATCAGACAATGTCGACAAGGAGGCTCGTCGAGCCCGAAAATCGCTAAAAATGAATTTTTCACGCCCGGAGAAACGCGGGTCGGCGCAAACGGCACCGTTTCACATCAACGAGAGGAATATTTCTGTCTTCGCGTCGGGGGTGGTGAGGCGTGGAGCGTGAGGTGCGTCGAGGCGGGTAGACAACCACCAAAGCGCGACATAAGAAACTACGATACTTTCATGTTTTCTTGACGTTTCGTGACCCCTATAGTACGAAAAAATAAGTCTCCTCTTTCCGTCTGTTTGTCTGTTTTATTAGACAGATAATCCGAAATTACCGGATTTTATGACTATGAAATAACGTACTCTTCTATTTGTGGTTTACAACGTTTTACAATTTAACTTTGAAATTGGAAAATCGAATATGTACTTTAAAATGTTGCAAACGTTTTATGTGTATCGAAAGCACGGGAAATCCTCAGTCAAATTTATCCGTTCAACCCTTCAGGAATTGATGTCATCTTACAATTTTGTCGAATCAATGTTATTTGAATATTAAAAATTAAATAATGAATAATTTTAAATTTCATGTAATTTTGAAAAAATTAAGATTTTGAGAAAAAAAAATGGACAACAATTTTTCAAGTTTTGCTTTTACGACCTCCCAATTTTCAATTTAATCATTTCTCGATTTTGTAATATGTCAGTTTCACCATTTTTAAATATTTAGATTTTTCAGTTTCTCTATTTTTTAATTTTAGATTTTTCGACTTTTCAATTTTTTATTTTTTAACTTTTACGGTTTTCCAAAATTTTTTATTATTTCAATTTTAGATTTTTAGATTAATGTTTCGGTTTCTCCATTTTCAATTTTTCGACTCAATTTTTCAACATTTCGATTATAAAAGCTTCAATTTATCGTTTTTCGATTTTTCAGTTGTTAGATTTTTTCTACTATTCAATTTTTCGATTTCTCGATTTTTCAAGTGCTTGGATTCTTCAGTTCTTCGATATTGTAAATTTTCTATATTTTAAATTTTAGATATATATTTTGATTTCTGGATTTATAAATGTTTGTATTTTTCTTTTGGATTTTCCAATTTTTCGACTTCTCGATTTTTTGAAATGACGATGTTTCGATTTCACAATTTTTCGATTTTTAAATTTATTAGCTTCTTCTAAGTTTGAATTTTTCAATTTCTCGACATCCCGTTTATTAAGCTTTTGATAATAATAATAATAATAATAATAATAATGTTTATTAACGGATATACCTTTACATATAATTATAAACATAAAATTACTTATAAATAAGCAAATATTAAAAAGAAGAGAAAGCAACAAAAACAAAAAACTAACATCCTAAAATACGCTTTGATTTTTCGACTTCTCGATTTCCCGATTTAAATTTTTTTAATACGTATTTCAATTTTACAATTTTTCGAATTTCCCATTTCTCGAGATTTCGATATTTGGCTTTTTAAAATTTTGGAATTTTCGTTTTCTTCAAATTCTCGATTTCTCACATTTTCAATTCTTCAGTTATTCGGTGTTTTAATTTCCGGATTTTTAAATTTTTGATCTTTCGATTTCCCGATCTTCAATTGTTCGACTTCTCGCGTCTAGATTTTACGATTTTCAAAATTTTTTATATTCGAATTTTCAGGTTTTCGGTTTTAAATTTTTGATTTCCCGATTTTTCGGTTCATCGAAATTTTGATGATTCGATTTCTCGATGTTTCAATTTCCGAATTTCGATTTCTCGATTTCTCAGTTTTTCAATTTTTCAAATTTTCGATTTCCCAATTTAAATTTTTTTAATGTATGTATTTCAATTTTTCGAATTTTCACTTTTCAATTTTTCGGTTTTAAATTTTTCGATTTTTCGATTTTTGATGCTTTGCTTTCTGGATGTTTCAAATGTTCAATTTCGACTTCTCGATTACTCGGTTTTTGATATTTCGAATTTTTGATTTTTCGATTTACTAATTTTTGGATATTTCAATTTTTCGACATTTCAGTATTGAGGTTTTGTAATTTTTCAATTTTTCCATATTTGCGATTTTGCAATTTTTCGATGTTTCGATTTCCCGATTTAAAATTTTTTAATACGTATTTAGTTTTCCAATTTTTCGAATTTTCGATTTTTCGAGTTCTCGATGCTTGAATTTTTAAAAATTTATGATTTTTCGTTTTTTTTTGATTTCTTGACTCTTCAGATTTTTCGATATTTTAATTTTCGATTTTTGTAATTTTTGATTTTTCGATTTCTCGATCATTTCATTTTTCAACCTCTCTTAGATTTTCGGTCTTTTCATTTTTTGACGATTTCCCCGCTTATGTAAATTTTGATGTTCAATTTTTTTCAATTTTTCGATTTGTTCTTTTTTTAAGTTTAGTTTTTTTTCACTTTTTCGATTTTTCAACTTCTCAATTTTTCCATTTCTGGATCTTTTTATTGATTTTGATATTTATTTCATTATCTCAATTGGATTTCTCGATTTCTCGGTTTTACGATTGTTCGACTTTTCGATTTCCCAATTTAAATTTTTTATTATTTCCATTTGTCGGTTTTTCCATTTTTCGACAATTAAATTTTGGAATATTTTCCACGTTTCTAAAGTTTAGATTTTTCAAAATCTCTATTTCTAGTTTCCTTGTTTTTTAGTTTTTCGATTTTGTATGTTTCACATTTTTTGATTTTACAATTTTTTGATATTTCGATTTCCCGATTTATATTTTTTTAATACGTATTTCAATTTTCCAATTTTTCGAATTTACGATTTCTCGGGATTTCGATTCTTGGGTTTTTAAAATTTTTGATTTTTCGTTTTTTCAATTTCTCGATTTCTCAAATTTTCAATTCTTCAGTTATACGATGTTTTAATTTCCGATTTTTTAAATTTTTAATGTTTCGATTTCCCGATCTTCAGTTGTTCGACTTCTCGCGTCTAGATTTTACGGTTTTTCAATTTTTCGATTTTCAAAATTTTTTTATATTCGAATTTTCAGTTTTTCTGTTTTAATTTTCCGATTTCTCGATGTTTCAATTTCTCAATTTCGATGTCCCAATTTTACAATTTTTCGAATTTTAGATTTCTCGACGTTTTAAAATTTTTCGAATTTTTAAATTTTTGATGTATTTTGATTTCTAGATTTTTCGATTTTTCAATCTGAGTCTTTCAATTTTTTCTATTGTTCCAATTTTTCGCATTTTTAAATTTCAGATTTTTCAGTTTTTTGACGTTTCGATTTCTCGATCTTTCGATTTTTCGTCTTCTCGCTTTTAGCTTTTTCAATTTTCTGAGTTTTCACTTTTCAATTTTTCGGTTTTAAATTTTTCGATTTTTCGATTTTTCGAGTTTTTAAAGTTTAGATTTTTCTATTTCTCTATTTCTAGTTTCCTTATTTTTTAGTTTTTCGATTTTGTAAGTTTAACATTTTTAATTTTTTGACTTTACAATTTTTTGACATTTCGATTTCCCGATTTAAATTTTTTTAATACGTATTTCAATTTTCCAATTTTTCGAATTTTCGATTTCTCGAGATTTCGATTCTTGGGTTTTTAAAACTTTTGATTTTTCGTTTTTTTTCAATTCTTAAAATTTTAGAATTTTCGGTTTCTCGATTCCCCAATTAATTTTTAAGCTCTATAGTATCTTTACTTTTCAATCTTTGCAATTTTTAGATTTTAGATTTTTCAGTTCTTTGACGTTTCTATTTCTCAATCTTTCGATTTTTGAAGTTTTCAGTTGTAAATATTACGCATTCGATTTTTTAGTTCTTCGATATTATAATTTTTTTTTGGCTTTCGAATTTTTAATTTTGAGCTTTTCAGTGTTTTGACGTTTCGATTTTTCGACTTCTCAGTTTCCAATTTTGATTTTTCAATTTTTCTTTTTTTCAATTTTTCATTTTTCTCGATTTATAGATTTCGATGTTTCGATTTTTCGATTGTTCAATTTCTCGATTTTTTATAATTTCAATTTTTTTGCATTTGGCCCGTTTCGATTTCTCATTTTTTGATTTTTCGATTTAGGCATTTCTCGATCTTTTGATTTCCGCGTTTTTCGATTTTTTCTTACAATTTTGTCGAATAAATGTTATTTGAATATTAAAAAGTACTTAAATAATAAATAATTTTAGATTTTATATAATTTTTAAAAAATAAGGATTTTTAGAAAAAAAAAAATTAATAACAATTTTTCAAGTTTTCAGCTTTTTGCTTTTGCGATTTCTCAATTTTCGATTTATTCATTGCTCATTTTCCGATATTTCTGTTTTCCGCTTTTTCAACTTCTCGATTAATCCATTTTTAAATTTTCCGACTTTACTATTTCTCGATTTGTCGAATTTTCAATTTCACGTTCTTTTTAGTTTTCGATTTCTTGATTTTCTAATATTTCAGTTTCACAATTTTTAAATATTTCGATCTTTCAGTTTCTCAATTTCTCGACCAATCGATTTTTCGATTTTCCGACTTTCTGATTTCTCAGTTTTTCGGTTTTTCGATTACTCAATTTTTTTGTAGTTTTTGTATTTTTCAATTTTGGGATATTTCAATATTTCGATTTTCTAATTTTTAGATTTTTCGACTTTTCAATTTTTGTTTTTTAACTTTTATGGTTTTCCAAAATTTTTTGTTATTTCAATTTTAAATTTTTCGATTTTTTGGTTTTTCAATATTACAATTTTTCGATTCCTCTATATATCGAAATTTCGATGTGTTGTTTTTTCAACTTCATTCACTTCTAAGATGTTTCGGTTTTTAGATTTTTCGATTTTTCGACTTTTGGGTTTTATCGATTTCTCGATTTTTCAAGTTCTTGGATTCTTCGGTTTTTTGATATTGTTAATTTTCTATACTTTAAATTTTAGATAGGTATATATTTTGGTTTCTGGATTTTTAAATGTTTGCCTTTTTCCATGTTTCCATTTCTCTCTCGATTTTTCGCCTTTTCGCTTTTGAATTTTCCAAC